TGCAGCAGAAAATATGCTAATGAGGGACTCATTTGCATGAGTTGCAATCTCATTTGCATATTTTCTGCCGATCTGTTTTTGTGCTAGGGGTTTTTATGCAAAAAGAAGTAGTGTGGACGTTTCCTTTTTGCGCAAAACCCCCTTTTTGTGCAAGATCCTTATGCCTCAAAAAAAGAGGTGTACCGATCTTGCACAAAAGGGTTTTTGCGCAAAAAGGAAACATCCACACTGCTTGTTTTTGCGCACAAACCCCTAGCGCAAAAACGGATCAGCAGAAAATATGCAAATGAGATCACGACTCATGCAAATGAGTCCCTCATTAGCCTATTTTCTGCCGCAAAAAAATGACAGTGTAGATGTAGCCTTAGAGGAGCCAAAACCGGGAATGGTTCCAGTCTAGATCCTTCTTTCTCAGAACCTTCAGAGTGGTTTTAACCAATCTTTTGATTTGTTTTCGATGTCTTGCCTCTGCTATAATATTGCTTCACCTCTGGTTCCTTCTCTTTTTACAAATGTAATCATTTCTCTTGAGAGCAGTGGCTATTTTCCCAAGTTCCAAAGCAGTTCAGGAGAACAAATCCTCCCACAGACTTTCAGTGGGAATGGTGATCCTGGCCCTCAAGTGCTTTTGAGAATCTCCTCCTCCTCTGTGCACTGGAGACCTTTCATGTAAGACCCGGTACATTTCCGCAGGTTTCCTTTTCAGAGGCAGAGAATTTTTCTAGGCCTCTTATTCTGTTTGTGCCATCAATTTCATGCACACTGCTTCTAGTGACAAAGGTCTTTGTGCTTTAAATTGAGTAAAAATACTGAATCCAAATCAAGCGGTACCTAAGCTAGCAGCACTGAAGGTTCACTGATCAAGATTCAGCACCCCCTGCTTGCCATAATAGCTATGTGGGTGCTTCTTAATTCTTCATAATAGCAACCCCCCTGCTTCTAAAAATGAAAAAGAAAGAAATTCCTAAAAAGCCACTATATTCTGCAGCAGTGGTTCTCCACTCATTTTAGTCCACGGACCACCAAGCCAATCAAAAAATGTTGTGGATCACCTCCAGAACATGTTGCACAGGACAAACGACACAGTAACCACTCAGCACAACGGTGGCAGCTACACTGATGCTCAGAGCCTCAGATGGAAGTTATTGGCAGCACAACGCGGTTGCATCCTAGGTGACGCTACGGATGACACGATGAGTGCTTGTGAACACTGCGTAAAACAGCCTAACGGTGGTGCCTGCTCACACTGTGTGAATTTTGGACAATGTTCCCGTGGACCACCAAAAAAGTCACTATGGACCACCATTTCCTGTGTTGATAACCACAGTTCTACAGCGTACAAAAGACATGGGAACAGCTATTGTGCTCAATAAAGGCAGGTTCCTTTTCCTCAGATCTTAGCCACCAGTGGTAAGATAATAACTGTAATTAATAATCATACCCATTTTTTATATAGTAGTTTTTAACAGTAGAGCTCAAAGCACTTTACAAAAGAAGTCAGTGTTATTATCATGCCCATTTTACAGATGAGGCAACTGAGGCATGGCGTGGTGTCCAGGGTCACCCACTAGGCCTACAGCAGCACTGGGAATAGACCCCAGGTGTCCTGCGTCCTAGTCTGTCTGCTAGGTCATGCTGCATTCCCTAGTCACACAGATAGACTCATATTCGTAATAGTGGCGAGAATAAAGGAAATGGATGAACTCTGGCTGTTTGTATCTGGATTTATCAGTTTCCATGGATGGGATTATTCAGGGTTTATGCCTGTGTAATTAAGATCAAAGTCTGCTCCCCTCCCTCTTTCTCCTCTCTCATGCTTGGAAACCATTGGGGTGAGTACTCTACAGGGGCCTACATACATGAATACACATTCATTCATGCCATTTTGACTGGAAGCTTTTTGAAGAAGGGACAGTGGGCTGCATTCTCTGGTCTACTATGGGCACTTTGCAGTGCTTAAGGAAACTCTTTGCCAGTGTAGAGGTCCCCCTTTTCTCCCCCCCTTCTGTAGTAGGGAGGCTGGTAGAGTGCAGCTGTCCTTCAGATGGTTTGTCACTAGGGTTGCCAGGTGTCTGGTTTTGAACTGGACAGTCCAGTATTTGAGCTTTCTGTTTGGAAAACAAATTGAGAAAATATAAATGAGAAATTATAAATGTCCGGTATTTTCTAAATACGATGTAATATAGATTGTAATGTAATGTAAAGTGTGTCCGGTATTTTTGTTGAAACCATCTGGCAACCCTATTTTCCACAGGCCCAAAGTCACTTGGAAGATCTCATGCTGCTGACTCCCGGATATACCCCCTCTGCCAAACACACTGGCTTCACACCCAGCTTTGACAAAATGCTTAAGCAAGTCCTTAATTCCACTTGAAGTTATCCAAACTTACGTACGTACCTATACGTTTTGTTGAATCAGGATCATGATGGGTTGCATAGATGAAGGTGCATGTGCATGCAATAGAATTGGGTTGTTCAAGGTATGTTTGTTGGTGCTTGATTTTCCAAAGTTTAGCTGCATATTTATGTACCTGCAGTTTTATCAATGCACAAATGAATGCTGAGGGCTGAAAATCTTAACTGATACACGCTAGGTTCAACAATAGAGCCCAGCTATTTATTTTTTTAAAATAGAGTATTCAAAAATATTTGAAAGTATTTGACTCATTAGAGTCCTTATGATTTCAGCGTCTTTGTATATAGTCATTAGGGAGCGGGAGCGAAGGAGTTACAAAAGATGCACCTTTTAATATATATTTTGTAATTTGATTTTTTAAGATTAAAGTAGTTAATTGAACTAATTTTTAACATAGGGTCATTAGTAAGATTCCTGTTCAGGCAACTGACAAATATTTCATCTGTTTTGGATAAAGAAGGATTTGTATAAATGGATGGAGGACTGCTACATGGAGACGTGCTTAGTGGGAGGAAGTCTAAAGAAGAGGGGCTAAAAGACAAGCTGCATTAATTCAGAATAAATTAAAAGTTCAGTTAGCATGTCAGGTTGAAGACAAGGTTATCTCCAGGGTATTTCTGGGGAAAGGAGGTGGTAGTCTGCTTTTGTGACATTGAGGCGTGCCTTTGTTATGTGGGGGAGCAGGACAAATAAATGCATTTTTCCCCCACCAGGTATCTTTCTTAGAAGTGCTTCATCTCTGCTCTGACGCCCTTGCATTCTAGACTACTCATTTATTCCAGCCTCCATTCATTTCTGTGATGTATTTTCTTTTAGGCACTGAAATTTTAGAGAGATAGAAAGTGAGCAATTTATGTGAAAAATCATTTTATCCAGATTAATGACCATTACCCTCAATTGTTATCACAGCATGATTAGCTAGATTTCTTTCTGGTGTGAGAGAAGAGAAACGACTTTCCATTTCCTTACTGTTTGAAATAGCCATGGTAGAGCCAGCGTGTCATATATCATGTGTCAAGCCGATCCATGAAAAATAATGCCTACGTGCTTTTAGAAGACATGAAGAGTATAAATGCAAGATATTTTCAATGGTACTTATTAAACTGCTTTTAAAGCCACAATCCTGCCTTATAAACTCCACTAGTCATGCAGGGGTTTTCTGTAGATTTCCAATACTACAAATATAGTGGGCTCTATAGATATAACTCCATTGAATGAAGCAGAGATCCTTTTAAAAATGCAGTTTCTCATTTCCTGCAGTACAAAGGGAAGCTGAAAGAACCAGTGTGCCTGATTCTGATCTTATTTAAATGGGTGTAAAATTCAGAGTAACTTTCAATGGAGTTACAGCGGTATAAAACTAGTGTGAGACCAGAATAAGGCCCAGTGGGTGTAGTATTTTTAGTACTAAGTGCCTGCTGTGAAAGAGACAGATTTTAATTCATGAATTTTGTACTCATGTTAATCCCACACAACCTACTCAAATAACAAACAGCCTGCATGCGCAAATGGGATATCACTTTGCTGGCCTCACTGCTGACTAGTGCCTTCTAATATGAGTGCTTCTGGAGCTTTTGTGCCTATCAGCTGTTGCCTGCTGTAGTGTCAGAACTGCTGAGGGAGAGATCAGGATATGGGGGAAGCTGTCATTACTGTGGGGCAAAAGGGGAACTGTGGAGTCGCTACGGACTTTTTTTTTTTTTTTTTTTTTTGTAAGTGCCTTCTGAAGGACAGTGAATGGGAAATCGCAGTCCTATTTCTGAAGGTTTAGTGGAAAGCGTCAAGAAAACTCTATTACTGCAGAGCAGAGAAAAGAATAAGCAAGGAGGTACATTTTAAGGGAAAGACCACATCAGGCTGGTAACACGGTGCAGGGAGAAAATAGGACAGAATGACTATCTCAGGTTTGGGTATTCAAGCTGTTGGTTAAAAGAAAGACTCTTATCTGAACCAAGCACTGGGTAAAGGGAACTACCTGTGTGGGATTTATTGGATTGAAGTTTTAATCAGTATTAATTATTTTATGGTAATAAGGGAATGTGAGCAGATTTCACACCCCCTCTCTGAATAATGTTATTAAATTAATACAGAAGTATAACAAATAAATCTATTTTTAGATCCTTAATACACTGTATAAAAAAAGCCCACATTAGCTTCTGCCGCGTTGGATCCTGGATTAGCTTGCATTCTGAAGATAAGAAATTGCCTGTTACCAAGGAAGACCATGCCAGGATAGAAACAGAGATGGAAAATTACTCCTAGAAAATTTAAAAGGCAAGCAGAAGTAGAAACTGATGCATAATGCTAAGACAGAAAAGATAAAAGATCCTCATTACTAGAGTCAAGTTCAGACCCTCAGTGTTAATTTCTTCCTAAATTTTGTGTGTGTGTGTGTGTGTGTGTGTGTGTGTGTGTGTGTGTGTGTGTGTGTGTGTGTGTGTGTGTGTGTGTGTGTGTGTGTGAAAAACACTTACCATAGCCATTGGTGCATCTTTATTTATTTTTTTTATTTATAATTCCTTAGGACTCTCAGATTCTATTTTTTTTTCTTTTTCATTTCCATCATCAGTCCCAGATGCTTTGCCTTCTGGCTCGAATGCTGCCAAGTGTATTAAATTATCTGGTATGTTGGCAAAAAGGGAACTCTTAAAGAAATACCTTACCAGAAATGTTGAGGCTATTAGAATGGTCCTGGCAAATAATCCATACATTTTATTTGTGGAATCTGAAAGGAAGTACAGTGTCGTTACTCTTCTGAATTTCTGCTGGCACCCTTCGTATCTGGCAGCTAAGATATAATTCAGGCACCTGCAGTAGCTTAGCTCTGGACATCATGAAAAGTTTCGGAGCTGATAGATTATTATGGTTCAATGAAGAATAAGTTAAGACAGACTCACAGAAGTAAGAAAAACTGAATTCATTTCATCTACTAAAAAGACAAACTTTTATTATTGTGGGGAAGATGAAGAGATACCTAAGTAATTCTAGATTTTATCTTTCCTGGCAATATTTACTGTTGCTGTGAAAACTTCAGACATTGGTTGTATCAAGTGTTTGCAGGCTTCATTTGTTATCCACTAACCAAAATTACCATTTTAGAATCAAACCAATACCAAGGTTCTCTCCAGCATTACTGTTGGGAGCACTGTATATTTATTCAAGATTTCAGAAACAAGTCTCTGGAAACCCCTGATCACTTCAGAAAATAATTCTGCTTTACACTGTACAGCAGGCACTGAAACCATGATACAAAATTTATTTCATGCTAGAGTTGTTTTGCATAACATTGTGCATGCATTTTACTCAGAAGTTCTAAATTGCATACAATGCTGTTGTCTTGTTTCTTAAACTTTGAGACAAGTTTAAACTTGAGTATTCTCCTGATTTTTGTACTATAAGTCTCAGTTTTAAAATAACACTTTTTTTGTTTCAAATCCATACTGATTACTTAATATGAACAATTTGTTATGAAGGGTCTTCACGCTGGATCTATACATCAATAAAATACAACATAACCAGAGCTGGAAATTAAATCTAGACCAGCTGTTACCATCAGGTCCAAAGAAAGGTCCCGTGTGTCACAAGCATGCCAACGAAAACAGGAAAAAAAAGGACTTTCCTAAATTTACACAGTTCTAGTTGAATTAAAAGTTCTTGATTTCCATGTCAGTGTAATGAGTTATGAAGGCATGGTCAATATGACCGATGACTGCCTGATTGCATTTTTTAAAACCATTACTCTCTATCTTGTATACAAAAAGAAGCAATCCATAGCAAAGAAATGTACAGTTTTATAATGTTTTACATTTTGGCTACAACAATGTATGTAAAAGTAAAGAGCTTTCAAAGAAAATATATAACTTTGCTTTTTTCCCCCCTTAAAGTTAATCATACATTTGCAATTTTTGTTTACTTCATGCAATTCATGCTATGAACAAAACAAAAAAAATCAGAAAAAGGAAGAAGAGATCTTCTACACTTTGTTACATTTTGGCCGTAGAAAAAGCCTGCATCTCTAGTACAACTCTGAAACCACATGGAATCATCCTTAAAACCTGCATGGAGCGAGTTTACTTTGTCCAAATGAGGAGGTCTTCTATGCCTGCACAGTTCCACACAGATGTTTATTAGCCATCAATGTTCATCTCCATCTCGCCTTGTCAAGTCACTCTGACTGCCTCTGTTGGCATATATTTAGCAATGACAGGACTTTCTTTGCAAAGATCTGCATGTAAAGAATACAATCAATACTTGAGCTTCTTTCCTGCGCTTTTCAAATCAAGTTTGGCATTTTAGTTTTAAAGGAAGGAGGAAAAGGTAGAGTAGCTACATGCAGAGGCAGCCATATTCTTCTTCAACAGGATTTTTTTTCCCATGCAGTCAGCCAGACTGAGACCTCTCTATAGTATATCTGAGTATTGCTTTCAACTTATAATAGGCACCCATGCAAAGTTTCATCCTACTGTGCTTGTTTTGCTCAAACTCCTGCAGGGTTCCTATGGCTCAAAAATATCCTGAGAAAATCAAAATCTTCAATCGTTGGCACGTTTCAGCATTGACTAAATGCCTAACCCATTCCATAAAAGCCAGTGAATCCACTTAGTCAAGATAAGCAAATACTAGCATGGTGCACCATTAAAGAAATTATCTGGTGCATCCGCCCTTCATTCTGTATACCAGTATCATGCAGCATATGGCCCACCAGTGCTGTTTAATATCCGCCTAGTGTTCTCTTTATACTATTTAAGGGTGTTGTCACCAAATGTCATTAGTAACACCATGCCCACAAGGTGCCACTGTGAGACATAACATCTTCAGACTTAGTCCCCTGGATTATATGCAACATAGCATAGGCTAATTGTAAATAAAGCTTTTTAGACCATTCTCTGCTACTGATCCATGCTACAAAATAGATGGGATGGGAGACCAAGAATGTCTCACTGGGCTAGGAGAGCTGTAGGGCGCAGACACTGAGGATAATCCTATCGCTTTTCCACTTATGCCAGCTATGCTGTTAAGGCTCCGTGATATTTCGTTACCTTCATTTAAAAGAAAAATGCAAAGTACAGCATTGGATCAACAACAGAATGGGCTAAGAATGAGGTCAACATTGTGGCCAGTTCAGTAGCATCCTCATGCATTGACATGCTGAGAGTAGTATCGCTTGCAACGTGATTGAGAAGGGGAAGGCCATGTAAGTGAGAGCAGGTGTAAAAGCGTGGGGAAGCAACATGGTTTCTCTGTGATGGGGAGACTGCATAATAATGTAAGCCGTGTCATCGTTCTGTCTTAAAACAACTGGGAATAAAAGTTAAGTGGAGGGATTTTTCTGTTTCTTTTCAGTATAAACTCATTTGCACTTCCTCCTACTGACTCGTGCATTTGGACTTCAGGCAAAAATTAAGGTGAACTGTAGCTTTAAAAAATCCAACAAACCAGCATTTGTTCTGTTGCTATAGAGATACTACTCATTTGCTCACAGCATTTAAAAAAATAGTTTGCATGCATTCATTTCCCTTCCTACTCCCCACTCCCATCCTTTCCCAAACATGCACAAAAACACCTCAGCAAGTATACACACATAGTTGCACAAACTATGGATGAAATTCAGTTGGAACAACAATTAAGATGCTCTCAACGTGTTTTGAACAGGCCAACAATATGCTGACATTTGTTACTCTTTAGCCAACTGGTCTCTCGTTTCATTCAGTGGAGCGAACCTGCTTCATGACGCAGTGCATCATGAGAATGGTACATTCCTGATACCAAAAGATGTGCCATTTGGAGCATTCTCCTGATCCACTGAAGCAACCAAAACAGGTTCAAGCTGAATGAAAATGGCCAGTGCTTATCCAATACAGAATCAGGTAAAACACTTTGCTACAAAGGTAAATTTTAGCAGAGATACTTTCATATGAAAGTGGAGTGGTCAACCTATATCTTTGTTAATGATAAATCTATAAATTATAATTACATATACTGGCATTTAGTATAGACTGTGGTCCATCATACAATGGCACGTGGGAATTCTAAAGCCCATACCCAGGGTATGGTTTACATCATAGAATCTTTGCAATTTTTAAATACTGAATATATTATATACTCTATACAGTACACCAGTGCTGGACACTGATTCAATGGCAGATAACTCATAGTGAAATTAACCACTCCCAATTAACTTGTATGCACATACGTACTTTGTTCTAACTTTGTATACTTAAAGATATCTGCATTTTTGGTTTGCTTGCTTTTCTTTGATTAAATCATTTGGGCAAGTTTTAGTCTATCATAAAAAAATCAGGAATTCTTTATTTTTCTAGGACCTAATGTTAATGAATATATGGATGATTCTGAGAATTATTTAGGTAAAACTAAACTGCTTTTGGGAGCTCTGTAGCAGTTAGGATTTTAAAAATTAATTGTGGTAAATATTTGTTAATATCCAGGAAAATGATGTATGTTAGGTTACTTTCCAATCATAAAAGAGGTCTATGCTAACAAATGCTCCCTTTGCGTTCAATTATCTAGCAAGGCATGGCAAAGAAGTTAACTTAAGGGCTGTGTAAACCCAGCTGAATAATCACTTTGTGGTTCTTGGTGTTTGTTATGGGCATTTATTTATTTATTGTCCACCAAAGTATTTGCCAGTCACAGCACACTGCAATCTTCCAAATGGGCAGCCTTCACTGCTATCATAAATACTAATAGCTGTATCTTTGGAGGAGGAAATTGTTTTAGGACATTGCAGAATATTCTGTGTTCAAGCTCACTGAGCTAGCTAACATGGAAGACTAACCTGGAGTTGCACATGGTCTCTTTAGCAATTTGCCTTTCCCAAAGAAACTGATTAAAAAACTCAAAATGCAGACATCAGGTTGTTATGTTTCATCCCAGAAGTGCATATCTCAACTAAGCCCACTATTCCATGATAACTAGTAGATGACTTTCTTTCTCTTTTTTTAAACTAGGTCACTAACTATGTGGTTACAGGACCTCAGCTACATACCCTTTCTTATTCCTCCATCAGGCGGGCAGGGATATTCCCCGGTTGATAAGAGGAAGCAGGGTCCATATCTCTCCCGAGTGCCAGAGCGGGTAAAGGGCAGGCCCTCATCAGGCGTTATAGCCTGGTCTATGTGGGGACAGTCTTCATTTGCCAGCGCCGCCTTGGCCACCTCACCATTCAGTTTCGAATCTTCAAACATAAGCAGAAGGCTATTGAAACACTAGGTACTGTTTATCAGAGATAAATCTGTAGGTTCGGGATCACAGCTAAGGAGTAGCATGGTGATGCTTGAAAGGTAGCACGTTTGTCCTAGACACAGTGACATTGTGCACTGCACCAAAATAAAATAAAATTAGTTAAGTGGAAGAAGAAACGAAATGTTATCTTATATAGAACAGTAACCTATGGTACTTCCACATATATAGGGCAGTTTCAGAGACTGGTTTGCACCGGTTCCTGGTCCTGTGAGCAGAAGACTGCAGTTAGAACCTGGATCATGTTTAGCATGACATAAGATGGCATATGAATGAACTGTGTCTTGAGAAAACTACTGAAATGTGTAGAACTTTGGAGAAGCAATTAATGGTGAGTTGCACCGTAGTAGCCATGTAAATTCTATTCATGCTGATTTATATCTTAGTACAGTATTATGTGGGCAAAAGATCCCCAAAGTTTGAACAGTTTTGCTTAGTTTTGTTTAGAATTTCAAACACACAGAATAGTAGTACACCTTTTAGATAGACACACAGCATAAATTATGTATGGAAATGTGACAGCAGAACATGGATTTTACAAAAACAATCCAGTTTCTGGTGTTTTATTCTGTGGCATATGCTGTTTTTGCAATGCCAGCCCAGGATGCCACAGATGGAAAACAATACAGCAGCCCATGGATTTTGAAAATAAATTAAGTAACATTTACCCCTCCCCCCCAACAGCAAATAATGCAAATAATGATAATTACATTTGTCCACTTTACTCCACTTGTCCTCATGAGGATAGCCTGAGAATGGAATGTTTTCTGTATGTGATTTGCTCCACAGCCATAAAACAATTTAAAGTGCTCTTATAAGATTTGTAAAATGTTTTCAAAGTGCAAATTTGTATATTGAAAATATATACAAAATATGGCACAGTTCAATAGAGTCTTTTCAGCTAAAAGAAAGGGAAAACAGTCAAAGTATAACCCATCCACATGAGCTAAGCTATGTGCTTAATTGAATGGGTACAGTAAGGAAATTTGCAGCATTTGAAACCTCGGTTGCACAATGCTTATTATTTAGATACTATAGGGCACACACTGCAGGTGATTCTACAGTTCTTAATGAAAAGGACAATGCACCAAAAAGCTTTATGTCAACCCCGTTTCCAAGAACACATGCTGACTTGCTCCAAACCCTGTGCAATTTTGACATCTATTTTTCAGTGGAGCTGAGGCCAACTAAAAGAATAAATCTAAGTCTACATAGAGACCCTAAAAAGAGAGAGTACAATAATGGGATGAGCAAACCTTCCAGAGCAATAGTTTCAGAAGGACATGATGGATAATAATATGTATTTCATGTCTTGATTATTTTTCCCAAGCAGATAAAATGCCCCCCATAATCAACTCCATTTGAAATCCTCTTACTGACCCTGCCTTGTTCCCTGCTGCAGAAGTGATCACCAGTTGTGGGCCTGGAAGGGACCTGGAGAAGGCAGCTAGTCCAGTTCCCTGCATTCATGACAGGACTATTGTTTAATCTAGACTGTCCCTGACAGGTGTTTGTCTAACCTGTTCTTAAAAACCTCCAGTGGAAAAAATTCCACAACCTCCCTAGGCAATTTATTCTAATGTTTAACCACTCTGACAGGAAGCTTTTCCTATTGTCCAGCCTAAACCTCCCTTGCTGCAACTTAAGCCTGTCCCATCCTCAATGATTAAGAACAACATTTTTTTCTCCCTGCTCCTAATAATAACCTTTTATGTATTTGAGGAGGATAGTGGTGGTAAGGTTTTTTTGTTTGTTTGATTTTTGACAAGCGAGGTTTATTAATCCATCAGGCACACTTAGAGAAGCAACAGATACTTTCTGACGTTCGTGATGACTAATTTGAACAGGTTGCAGACATTTCAGGGCATAGGTTGATTGCAATTCTTGTGTATGAATAATATATATCTATTTCACCTCTGCATAGCAAAAACTACACAATTGCTTTAATAACCATGGCATCATATGATCCTGAGCTGATTCTTTATAACTCACACTGATGTATATTGTGAACTTTGCTATTCCCTAAGGGGGCCAGTAATGCAGTGGGTTGCTGTACTACACAGTGGGTTCACATCCATACAGGATAAAGCCCTGATGCTGCAATGCGTCAGGTGCCAGGGGAATACCTACACAGAGCCCCACTGTTCTCATGGCTGCATTTGGGTCATAGATTATATTCATTATTAGAGATGGTCCTGAACCAAAACTGTGGATCTGAACATTAGGAAAGTTTGGATCCTTCTCCACATCAGTACCCTTACATACTCTAAAGCAGTCTGCAGGTACGGACTGAAATACAAACTAAACCGCAGGAGCACTACAGCCATTGCTAAAATACAGCTATGTTTTGGGGTGTAACATTCACAGTTTAACAGCATGCAGCAATTGTATTTCAGACCAGGAGGTGAAGCATACCTCATCCAATTGTAATTGCAGAGAGAATTTAGGCAGAATGACCCAAGTTCGCAGATGGCTGGAACATTGAAATCAACATCCTACTGTTTACAAAAACAGTACGAGATGTCAATGAGCACAAATGGTCACAACCTCAGCATTACATCTCACGTGACAGACTGCACTTCCATCGCCTCCAGAAACTTGATATTAGGCAGTGGCAGTGGTTCAAGCTCAGGTCTCAAGTGAAAATGAATTTGTGAGCATCACCCTCCTTCCTGGTTGTTCATGTCATAAAACCATCCAGATTTCCCAGCTCAAGAACTTAGTGGACAAATTATTGAAAACTGAGATTGAGATGAATGGCAAAGCTTTGCCAGGAAAGGTGTACAAAAACTGCCCACCATTTATGTGATGCAGTTAAGTGTGGTTAGTTTCTTGCTTTCCTTAGCATAAAATTTACTCAAAGGTCTCAAGAGTTTTCAGAGGTCCTAGACCGTCACATTGGAGACTGTCTTCAGTGATACCCATATTACCAACCTGGTCTCAAGTTGCCTCTGAGCTTGTATCTCCCATTGCTATTCAGCACATTTAATGATCTTTCAATGCACGTTATCTTCCCCTTTCTATTTCAGGAGTTCCTAAAGGTAAAGGAGCTGTGGCTAAATCATTCTGCAATCTGAGCTACAGATCTGTGTATTCTGAAACCTCTTCCCCGTACAATGTTTGTGTTGATGTCAATGGCAGGGCTACCCACGAGACATGTAGGCTATGCCATTGAGATTGGCATTGGGGTAATTAAAATTGCAGTGCTGATCAGAGATGACAATTTGGCTTCTGTTTGGGAGAAAGGGATGTGATGGCTATAAATGACTGGAGAGAAGTAGATTTCTACTTCTGTAAATATGGTATTTTGTTTTAGACCATCTACAGTGTCAGTAATGAACTGATGTGCAGCAATTTGAATTCCAGCCCAATCCACACATAAGTTAATACTCAAATCTTCTTGTCTTCACTGGAGACATATTAAATAATTTCAGTAGTGAGGAGTAAGGGACTTAAAAATGTCCAGTGAAAACAACTAGGCTGTGTCTACACTGCACCCCTTTTCCGGAAAAGAGATGCAGATTAGACCAGTCGGAATTGCAATTCCGCGGGGGATTTAAATATCCCCCGCAGCATTTGCATTTACATTGCTGCCGCTTTTTTCTGGCTTGGGGATAAGCTGGAGAAAAGCGCCAGTCTAGACGCGATTCTCCGGAAAATAAGCCCTTTTCCGGAGGATTCCTACTTTCAAGTAGGAATAAGAAATCCTCCGGAAAAGGGCTTATTTTCCGGAGAATCGCGTCTAGACTGGCGCTTTTCTCCAGCTTATCCCCAAGCCAGAAAAAAGCGGCAGCAGACTGGTCTAATCTGCATCCCTTTTCCGGAAAAGGGGTGCAGTGTAGACACAGCCCTAGAGTCTTGGCATTAACTTTGGTGAGCATTGGATCAGAGCATAAGTGTGCAGCTTAACTTGGCCAAAAAGTCACTTCCACTTTAATTATATATTTTAAAGTATAACGTGAATTGAGATTTTACTGTAAGGCAACTAAACAAATCAGGGCTTGATCCTGCACCATTAAAGTCAATAGGAGCCTGATGTCTATAGTATCATTTGTGCTTTGTATTTTTGGATACATATTTTTACACCTGCACTAACAAAATTTAATGATTTTGTCTGAACGAAAGTAATGAGGCTTAGTGTAACAATATTAAGTATTAATTAAACATTAAAGTAATAAATAGTGTTGATATTTTCATAATAATCTCATTTCATGTTCCAAAAATGTGAATTAAACTAAACTTGGCATAAAATAAAATCAACCTGAGTAAAAAAATATTTTTTCCATCAGTTAAAGATTTTTTAAAAATCTTTTTGTATGTGACGGATGTAAAATGGCTTTACAGTTAACTGAAATTTGCACGCTAGACTTTGTGGGCAAAATTAAGTCCTGATAGAGGAAAGTCATCTCCACTGGTGAAACTGGAGATGTGCTTGTTTTATACCCTCTGTAAGATATATTGATGACATGGGTGACATAGGGGCAATATTCTCAAATTGCCATAATTCTCTCAAAATGGGACCAGTGTTTGTCAGGGCTCCTAAATATTAATAAACCTTTGGGAAAAGCTGGACCAGTTTTTATGGTCCTGCTCTTGTTCCAATTAAAACCAATTGCAAAACTCCGCTGTGGATTTCCATGCAAGCAGAATCAGGCTTAATGCTTATAATAAAACTTGAAGTCTGGGAAAGTATTGTGACCTTTATGGACAGATGCTTGGTCTCAGGAAGGAATGTAATACCAGGAAACCATATTCTGCCTATTGTCTTCTGTTAGATTGTAAGCTTTTTAGAGCAGTGACCAAAAAGGTGTTCTGCGTTTGTACAGAACCTAGCAACGTGGGCCCTTGGTCTATGTCTGGGGCTCCCAGAGCATGACTAAATTATTATTTTTTACATAGAATGCCACTTAGATTTTGTTGTCGCATGAGAGATCC